GCTTTAATCTATTATGATTAATCATATATCTAAAAGGAGTATGCGTTGTATATTATAAATGCAATGCTTATAATGGGGGCTTTAGCAACACATATACTGTGTCTCCTGTTGTAAGAATTAATTATATTGCAGCTTAAATGTGTTTAGGGACGAATGTGCAGTTCCTTCATAATAACTTCCCATTTTTCTTCCATTGATGATAATGCGAATCAACCAATTGTATTTAAATCAAAGTGATCAAACATATAGCAACAAAAACGGATATTAAATTGAAGGGGGACTTAAGAAACTTCTCACCTATAAATTTACCGCAGGTTAGTCCTAAGGTAAAGCTCTGGATTTCGGAGCTAACGAGCCGGGTTCAAATCCATACGATACCAAAAAATAAAAATAAACAATCTTCCCGCTTTAAGATGTGAGTGCGTTATAAGGGTAAGAGCTAATCCCTTACCGTGGTAGGTGTTATGGTGTTACTGACTGACTGCCTCTGTTCAGTAGTTCAAAATTTGGGACGGTTGAAGATAGCCAGAAATTCAAACATATATATAAGTGAGTCAAACAAAACACAGGTTTTATTTTAATAAGAAATAATGACAGTGTTATAAAGATTTTGAGTTTCTTACATGAAACAAAAAGTGCTTCAATACTGAACTTTGTCTAGTCGAGACCTCTTTCTGGAACGGCTTCCGTTTTGGTATGCCTCCATCCCTAGTGTCTCAGCGATTAGTATACAGGCTTACGACTCTAAAATCCGGGTTTCGGAATCCTTGGTGGGCAGAGCACAGATAGCTCATTGTATAGTTTTGTGCTTAATAACAATCAAACCAAAACATTTTTTGATATATTTCTCTAAATTTGGGGGTTGTTAAAGAAACTCGACGTCATCGTCTCCTGAATATAAATTATAATACTCCGAATGTTGTTTTTCTTCTTCTTCTTCTTGTTCCTTGCGTTTCTATAACAATGTTGTTCCCCGATGAGACAACGGTAAATTTGCGAACTTAAAAAGCTAAAAGTCCCACAATCATTTGGAAATAATAACTAAACTTTTTGAACAGCTCTGGCGATCTGTACACCAGTCAAATAGTTGGTCACTCACAACCAACTAACAACGTCCCACAAGCATTTGGAAATAATAACTAAACTTTTTGAACAGCTCTGGCGATCTGTACATCAGTCAAATATTTGGTCACTCACAACCAATTAACAACGACACACAAGTATATGCAAATAATAACGAAACTTGTAGCAACCACCAAAATAAATCAAACGATCAAATCTTAAGGCGAAATTAGGTTCCAGTCTTTCAAAGTAATTAGTGAAAGATGTAACGAAACGACCATTAATTCTAACATTCATCTCTATTTGTTTGTTTGTTGTAAAGCACAAAGCTACATAATGGGCTGTCTGTATTCCGTCCGCTGCGGGTATTGAAACCAGATTTTTAGCATTATAAGCCCACTGATTTAACACTGAGCCACCGGGGTGGGGGGCGTCTGTATTCATGTATAATTTTTCAAATCTTCCTAAAGGTTTGCTTCTTTAATTTCGGTAGCGCATAGCTATAATTAGCAACTATCATACGTTAAACATCACCTAATCAAAGTGTGACAAGGTTAACAATTTCTGCACTGATTGAAGCAGAATTATTCAAGCCAAGTTGATACAAAAAATACAGTTTAAATAATTACTACACTGCCTTATATCTGAGTCTATATGTTAACATAAAGTACAGAGCAGGTGAACCTTGGATGACTGACTGCATGATCTTTGCATCTCTTACATTAAACCCCATCGTGGCTTAGCGGTAAGCCTAAGAGGTTTGTAACACTAGAAATCGTGTTTCGATACCCGCAATAGGCAGAACACAGATAGCTCATTGTGTAGCTTTGGTCTTAACAACAAACGAAAATATTTTATTAATGCAATTTGAACTTATGAAGTTATAATTAGGAAAATATTAAAGTCTTTCGTGATTAGGTAATATATATTTTTTTCCTTTTCGAATACGAAATGATGAGTGAAATCTTAAATCTTAGCAAACAAACGCTTCTTACAATTGTAGTGAAATAATAAAAAAATTCGTATAGATATCAAACTTCTTCCAATCATACAAACCTTGAGATCTAAATTTAATCCAGTGTTTATTATTGTTATTTGTTAAAATATACATATATTGACTCGTCATCTTGATGTAAAAAAAAAGATGTCATAGACACGTCAAACTTTGTCTAATCATAAAATCTTCAGGCTATGGAACTTTTCTCAATCTTAATTATTTAATCTAAATACAGAAACTGATTCTATACACCAAACGAGCTTTGAAAATAATTTTCTTTACTAAGAATACGTCGTTAAAAATGAGACAGAAGTTAAATATAGAAATGCAAATGTAAAGCCAAATTTAAATGATTAATTATAATTTCTTCTCAGCTTCGTAAAATCTTATTTATGAAGATATTGTATTGAATTTTTACTAGTCTCAGCTCACGAGTTTTCAAGCATTAGTAAGTTTTACATAATTAGAAATGTCATTGATGTTTGTTGATAAACTGCACACACAAAAGGATAATAGTAGTTTATGATATTGTATGTACGACAAGTCAAAACCACAATCATAAGATAATGCTAGTCCCATCAGTTCATGTTTAAGAACAAAATAACTGGCATGACCTAAACGACAGCACATGGAACTGTGGATCCAAAGGCTCATGGCTCGTGTCTCATTGCCCCTTCCTAAGAAATCGCGATCTAAACCTTGGGGTCGTATGTGTGTTATAAAATTGACACTATATTAAATTACAGTGTTGGTGAGTGCTTTTACTAGCTGCCATCTCTCAAATGTATCAGTTCAAAATTACAGGCGGTTAGTGTAGTTAGCCCTTGTTTAGCTTTGTACGAACGTTCGAAACAACCCAAACTACACGATCTTGTCTCGGTTTATGTTTGAAATTAATTATGTAGTGTTTACTCTGTAGTTAATTTCAAAATAATAACTGATATAAAACTGACCTTGACCTGACCTCGGCATAATAGATAACAACGCACGTCCCCCCCCCCCAATGTGTTAAACTGTCCGACACGTTCTTTGAAAAAGAGAGTATTTGGTCTAATGGAGTGGTCTACACACTCACAGGACTTCAATCCTGCCAACCATATATAGGGTAGTCTGGAGAGGTCCGTCACATTGAGCACAATAATTACAAACTCTGAAAAATCCTATTTCAGAGGAGTGATCGGGAGTACTTCAGGATATTTTCATTACTCTGATATTTAGCTTACAACGTCATTGGTGCCAGGATGTCCTTGCTACACATGTTGACCATACTTCGCATTGATGTGAAACGTTATGAACTATAAAAATGCTTGTTTGTTTATATGTAATTAAGCACAAATCTAGACAATGGGCTATCTGTGCTCTGCTCACCACGGGTATCGAAACCCGGATTCTAGCGTTGTAAATCCGCAGACATATTGCTTTGCCACTGGGGGGGGGGGGAAATGATTTGTTGTAAAGAGTAAATGAAGATTTGATATACGTAACTTTGCATTTTTATAGACTCTTCACAACAAATCATTTACGTCATAAATCACCAGATGCCGTACATAGATCACCAGCTGCCGTATTTGTACAGGTATCAACTGTTCATTTGTTGCTAAACACAAAGCTACATAATGGACTATCTGTGCTTTTCTCACCGCGGGTATCGAAACTATATTATTTGCGTTATAAGCCCTCAGACTTACCGCTGATCCACCGGTGTGAGAGGGGAGGGGAGCAAAAGCGACTGAAGGGTGGTTTTAATTTATTTTTTAACAGCAGTATTGCTTTGACATACATAGCTAAGATTTTATGTTACTATTATCTATATACGTAGTACATACAATTCTTTTTGTTTCAGTACAGCAGTAGATGACTATAATTCCTTGTACATGTATTAAAACAGCTAGTCTTGCAATAAACACTTATAAAAATAATTTTCAGATAATATTAAAAATAATTCTCCTTGGTTTAACTAGAACTTTACTATGCGACCTCATTATAGAACACTTTCCCATAGTATTAGATTACTGCAAATATATGCTGAACTGTTCATAGGTATTTTCATAAGATAATGTTGTTGTGGATACTTCAGGTCGAGCACGTCCCAGTCGTTAGCTTCCATCTTAGGTTCCGGCGTTGTGTCAAATTACTGCCCCAAAAAAGTCGCTCTCCGCACTTTGGGGCCGTGTGTACGTTATAACAGTGCTGAGTAATTTTCGCTAATCGTTCTGACAAGAGTAGCCAAAGAGATGGCAGCGGGTAGTGTTGTCTATCTGCCTTCCCCCTTAGTCTATCCTATTAAAATTAGTGAAGGCTAACTTTAGACAGCCCTGGTGTGGTTTTGCGCGAAATTCGACAAAATTGGAATCGCATACTTTTCTAGCCCTAAAAAAGTTTTTTTTCCTTAATTTACTTTTGTAAATAATGTTACCTAGAAAGTGTTTATATTTGTTAAGCTTCTCAATGTTTCTATTCTGTACTGAAATCAATCACCTTGTTGAGTTCATAAGCTTTTTATTTAGATTTTAATTTCTAGTTACTGAATACCATTTGAAACTTCTAAAAAAAAACCTGTCTTTTCAAAGGCAAACCAACGTGGTTTTAACCACTGACGTTGACAGTTTTGTAAACAGATTGAAAATTAGATTAAGTTGTTATAACATGGGATTACTCAAACGAAAAACAGAATTTATCAGCTCTAAACTCACGCGGGCGCTTATATACCTCTCTTGAGTGATAGATCACTGACACATTACGACTCCTCTATCATGTTTTGAAGTGCCAATGTAAAAAAAAATAAATAAATACATAACTGTTGAAACAGTTAAGATACTGTACAGTCATAGGACAATATATAGTAGCTTTCATCGAACGTTAAGTACAGACATATAGTGGCTTTCATCGTGAGTTAAGTATAGACATATAGTGGCTCTCATCGTGAGTTAAGTACAGACATATAGTGGCTTTCATCGTGAGTTAAATACAGACATATAGTAGCTTTCATCGAACGTTAAGTACAGACATATAGTAGCTTTCATCGAATGTTAAGTATAGACATATAGTGGCTCTCATCGTGGGTTAAGTACAGACGTATAGGGGGTTCTCATCGCACCGTTAAATAAAGAGATATATTGTGGCTTTCCTCGTGTGTTAAGTAAAGATACATAATGGTTCTCTTCGCACGTTAACTACAAATACATACATAGTGGCTTTCCTCGTATTAACTACAGATATATAGTGGCCCTGCTCGTATGTTAAATACAGATATATAGAGGTTCTCATCGTGCGTTAAGTATAGATATATAGTGACTCTCATCGTACGTTAAGTACAGACATATATCAGGACGTTAACTATAAATATTCATGTTTTTTTTCCTTCCTGCAGCTTGCCCTTAATGCCGTATCGGAGCAGGATGATAGTAGATTAACCCGTGGTCACGACGACATTTTAACCCGTTACTCAGCCATAGAACACATAATTATAAAAGACATGGCGAAGTCAGAGAAATGGTATAGTGAAGGACTGTTGTTTTTCAATGCATCGTTGATACTAGTATCAGTGGCGCCCTTACAATCAAGTGCAAGGACCAACTCGTTAGTGTCTTACAGAGAAGCATTAGAAAAAACACGTGAAGTTCAGAAATCTCTTGCAGCCCGAAATTCACACACCGATTCAAGATTCTTCGAACGCCATCGACATCCTGGGTATGATATGATTTCTTTTTTTATGATTACGAGAGATAAGAATATCCTTTATATTCCATTTATCATCGTTTCATTGCCTTAGTGGGTTATTTACAATATTGTTTCTTGATTAAACTATCTATATCCTGTCACTTAAATATCAATGTTTTTACACAGTTTTGCTCTCTTGGTTACTTTTTTCAGTTTGTAACCAGTTCTAACACATAAGCATAATTTACGACTTATGATAAACGTAATCAATCTACTTAACTTTGTTGCATGTTTCCTTGAATAGTATTTTGATTTCTGTTTATCGCCATGGCTAGTACCCCATACAGTCATCTAAGCTTACGTTCTAATTTCTTTCTTTATTATTGGCTGGGCGTCGCCTAGTGTTACTTGCTAATGTATGAATCATATATTGTGTAGTTCAGTTGTTGTATTATTGCATCATGATACCAGAACCTTGTAGGTTTTCTCACTGCTTTAATTGAGTATTATTGCATCGTAATATCTCGTAGTGGGTGGAACATTCTAGGCCTCTGTCAGGCTATAAATACATGCCCAAAATGTAGTTTAAGAGTTTAAGACAGTTAGTTAGATAGCTAGATCTAGACTGAGTGTTGTGAGTTTAGCCATAAGGAGCATGCAGGGGTGATTTTGAAAGTGAAATTATCACAGATTGTATTGTAACAACAGTGTAGAGAATAGTTATACGTCTTATCAATTTGTGTTCTAAAGTAACTGAACTGTTCGCGACCTGTTGCCGTAAAACGCTCTCGGCCTCTTGGAGCCGCTGATGCGCTATAAAGGTGACGGTCAAATCATACTATTTGGTAGACAGGAGTAGCCCAAGAGTTGGCGTAAAGTGTTTTTGTCTAACTGGCTTTCTTCTGGTCTATCAACTCAAAATCAGGGGCAACATTTGCAGTCAGCCCCTTGTATAGCTTTAAGCCAATTTTCTGAAACTGGTACTTGTTTTAGACACTAATTATCTGTTACATTATATCAATCTTTTCGGCTTCTGATCTGTCACTATCTTCAGAGGAGTCTTAAGAACAACTGCTCGATCCTGGATCTACTTTTTAGAAAGACAGATGTGTTTCCACTTCTCCGGACTCTTCTCTCAGTGGGCTGTTAATCAACCTACTATTTACATAGTTTCAATATAAAAATATACATTTTGCTGATCTCAACGCTAGGTTGGCTGAGTGCGTCATCAGTTAATTGAACGTTGAAGGCTTCTTTATGTTACCTTTTCCCTATTGTGGTTTATTTCGTGCTTTTTCTATTATAAGATTTTCTTCCCTTACACGATTGGCTATTGTAGATAGATCGGTACTACACAGTCTTGGTTGTCTGTTATGCTCTTGAATAGTTTTGTCTTGTCGTTTTATTTCTCCAATGTATTGAGGCTCTAGTGTTATTGCGTGGACTAACAGAGATCACATTGTTTATCGACTCATGGAGGATTCTCTGAAGATATTTGTATATGTTTTGTATATCTTCAGGGAAACTTTCGACCTACAGAATAGACTGTGTGTTTATAGTGTTCTTGGTGCTTAAAGAAGATATTTTTATTTGTATTTTCTTCTTTATCAAATGTTCAAGTACAACAAGACCAACAACAACTTTATCAGGCAGCAACAGAAATACCGATCTATGTACAAAAGCCCATAGTAATGTGAATAACTCTTAAATAAAGGGATATAAATCTTATACACAATAAAAATAAAGGTAAAAGGAGCTTTCTACATCTATCTAGCCAATTAAAAACACATCCAGACAGCCTATTGTAGAAAACAACAAAAACTGATTACCAGCCCTTCTTCTAACAATAAAAACATCAAGTGATCCTTGCTCTTAGAAACAGGAGGGCACGAGATCAAATCCTGGCTTCTGACTGCATATACAGTTCTCAGAGTTCCCTGATGACAACAGCAGATTAGCAGCGGCAAAATTAGGATGTAAAGTATAAATAATAATTAGCACGTTATAGTAAAAAAAATAAGAATCAAATAACTAATTAGTAATTATAATTAAGTGAGCATATAGAATAATAACCGTTGCAACAGTTGACATCCTCTTACCACAGTTTTACACTGAGTATTTGATTTTAGTTATTTATTCACAACGGCTACTTTCTGTTACAAGTTTGTTTGAAGTTAAGCACAAAGCTACACAATAGGATATCTGTGCTCTGCCCACCACGGGTATCGAGACCCGGTTTCTAGCGTTGTAAGTCAGCAGACATATCGCTGTGCCACTGGAGGGGGATTCTGTTACAATCCAGTTTTCCTTAAATATTTTTTTGAGTTTGAATTATATATATCCTTTTTATTTATAATGTACATATATTCATTTGTGTAAACTAAGTTTATTAATTTATTAATTCTTACGGCTGTTGATAATTCTGTGTTAAAAAATCTGTTCCATACAAGCTAGAAAACTACGTGTTAATAATCATCTGCGGATTATTAAATCAGATTATCTATATATATATACAAATATATCTGTATATATTTCATTTAATTTTAACATACCGTATCCGTAAATGAGTTGCGTAAAATGTTAGGGTTATTTAAATCCCACATATTTCGTCCACTTTTGAAATTACGCCTACATAAATTGAATTTTTTTCTTCCGAGATTCTGATAAAAACGTATGCAGCAAGTTTCAGAGATCTCTCCCAGTCAACAAGATCTTCACTAATGTTTAGACGAAACGACATAAACATAGTCAAGTTAAAAACGTTCTCTTGTAGTAATTCGAAGAAATGATAAATGTAGCCAATATGAAACGTCCTCATTTAATGTTCTACTTAGGCTTAAAAACATACACTGGCGAAACGACATAAACATAGTCAAGTTAAAAACGTTCTCTTGTAGTAATTCGAAGAAATGATAAATGTAGCCAATATGAAACGTCCTCATTTAATGTTCTACTTAGGCTTAAAAACATACACTGGCAATATAAAATGGTATATTCGAATGATCTAATGAAATATGTTATCTGATTAAATCTCTCCCCCCTTAGTGGTCTCATAAGACGCTGCACACTAACTCGTAAATTTACTTGACCCCCATCTTCATCCCAAGACTCCCACACATTTGTAGAAAACTCCATTTATTTGCATAGGCAAAATAGAATGCTCACTTTCATGTTATAAATAGATCTTTTCTATTTTAGTTTTTTCTGTAGTTAAGCACAAAGTTAAGCAATGGGCTATATGGGCTGTACCCATCATGGGTATCGAAACCCGATTTTTAGCGTTATAAGCCCATCGACTTTCCACTGAGATGCTGGGGGTGGGGAAAACCTATATAAATATAGTAATATCTTGGTTAGCCTGCAAGACAGTGAATAAAACCAGTGATCTCTGTCTATCGCTATAAAATGGGTATTACAATAAGCGTTCAGCTAACAGAAGTCTTGTTAACATAGAACATTTCTTTGGCCAACTATTGAAACACAATCGTAATAAAAGATTACTAGCTGTGTCAATTGAAAATAATACATCTGTCAAAGAAAAATCCGTTCTGGGTTGGAAGGTGATACAACCTGAACTTAGGTGGAGTCATTATAAAGTGGGCCCGGTATGCCCTGGTGGTTAGGTCACTCAGTTGGCAACCCCATGTTCTCGGGTATAAATCCTTACCCCTGGATATGCTCGTCCTTTCAGCAGTGGCTGTATTATAATGTGACAGTCAATCTCACTATTCTTTGGCAAAGAATAGCCCAAGAATTGGTGGTGGGTGGTGTTGACTAGCTGCCTTCCTTCTAGTATATCACTTCAAAATTAGGGAAGGCTAGCCCAGATAACCCTCGAATAACTTTGCGCGAAATTTAAAACAACCAAACAAAGCAAATTTATAAAATGATCCATTAATGTGCGTAATAAAATTCAAAATACCCTCATCTAATGAGTTAATAAAATAACAGAAACAGCAATTTTAAAACATCCTCGTGCCATCTTCTGATAATATTATACGTACATATGCATGCACATGTAAAAGTATTCTCCTCTAGTGATTTAATAAGAACAATCTCATCTTTCTGGCTGAATGGCATGCATCTAAGTGGGATTCTCTCTTTTTAAGAACTTCAAAGAACACTATGGTGACTTGACACCAATTTTTAGACGCAGTTTTATTAGTATAAATATAACAGAAGCAGGTCTCGAAAAGTCATCTTGATCTAGAGACGATAGACAGCCGTTAACCCAACAGATAGGCTACCAGCATTACTACCTATGCCTTTCATCAAGATCTTTAAGCTAACTTCTTCATTTCCCTGACATTTTCCGCTCGTGCACTTGGAAGATATTGGATTCCCCACAAAGAGTTTGCACTTGAGTTTGCCCACGTATGCCAGACAGTACAACAGAGTCATCAGACACATTAAACTGCCATTAATGCTTAGTTGGTGTTCATTAAGGTCAATCTTCTTCAGTTATTTAAAGTGGTATAAAACTAAATACAGTGAGCACTGTTATATCCATTCCTTATCGGTATTACGCTATTAAATAAACGACTATTGGTGGTACACTATACCCTTTGTTTCTTCTTGTTTTAAAACGAAAAAGTTTATACTTTTAGTACGTAAAAGTATCTATGCCAAAAAAAAAGAGCACTAAAAACATAATAAATATAGATATATAAAATTTGTAATTATTTGAATTAATTTTGATTAATGGGGCTCCATCGTCCTGTTTTAAAAGGATAGTTGAAGCCGCCTTCTTACGACATGCAAAAATATTTCAGTGGATGTAAACAGTTAATTTAGTCTGGATATTTTACGGATATTTAAAAAAATATATTAAATATTAGAAACCAATGCCAAAAACCTTATCTCTATACCCACTATTGCTGTGTATTACTGCTAATTGCAAATAATTTGTAAAGCATTGTTTATTCGACTTCTCACTTCTTTAGAATTAGAATATTAATTCCTCTTTATAAAAACGATTTGCATATGCTCTTGGAGTGGCGTGTTGTCAAAAATGCAAGTCTTATTGCCAC